TATGCCACGAAGAATTGAGGCAGTTCTGAAGGCAAAAGGGGGTCCAACCCGTTACTAGCGTGGTGTACCTAATAAAGTGGCCGGTGAGTGTAGTCCTGTCTCCTTTAAAAATTTTACAAAGACTTTATCTTTTCATGTTTAACTAATACCTTTTCCACTTTTAATATCTGTATATCATATTTCTTTAATTCTTGTTTTAACTTCTCGACTCTTCTTATATTTTTCACATTGTATTACTACATGTTCTACTGTTTCTTTGCCCTTATCACATTCAAAATGTCCTGTTGGGTGTTTGCCTAATAAATGCAATGCTTTATTCAAAACTGTGTGTCCCAATCATAACTTTGTCATTATTACTTGTTCTTTTCGATTTCCTCCTATTATTTCCATTTTTCCAACTTTCTGCTGTATTCTAAACAAATGACGACCTTTATTACTCTCCTCCCAAATCTTCTGRCATTCAGATATTATTTGTTTCTTAAATGATTTCATTTCAGATTTACTAAATGCAATATTCATAACTCTATCTTGTTTTAAAGATTGTTTAGCTAAATAATCTGCCATATCATTCCCTTCTATATCTTTATGAGCTGGTACCCACATAAATCTAACTATTATTTGRAACTGTAGAAGTCTAAATATGATTTCATGTATTTCATGAACAAGTTCTGACTTTCAGATGAGAAAATGGCAATAGACATTAATGATGACAATGAATCTGAACACATAAGAAACAAAACAAACAAAATAAAATAAGAGTACTTATTTTATTTTGTTCTACCCACTGTAATGCCATCAGAATTGCCAACATTTCTACTGTGTAAACTGCTAAATGATCAGATGTTCTTTGTTTCTTATGTATGTTCAACTCCGGAATTACATAAACAAATCCTGTTTTACCTGAAACTACTTCCTTTGACCCATCCGTAAATATAACAAGGATTTATATATACTCTTTATTCTATTATTTACTTATTTTATCCAATCATTACTTTTATTAATCTGCATTTCTTTATGTATGTCTATATCAATATATATATGTGGAAATATCCAAAAAGAGTGGCTGAATAGGGCACTGAAGCACAATAATTCTTGTCCTGTATTTCCATTTCTTGAATACATTTGTTTGCTGCCCAAGCAAAACAGTCAACTTTAGCCTTTCCACTTTCCCAACAAGGCTTTAATATTTTTACTGCTGGATGTTTTTCTTCTTTATGTCCTTGTAAACTTATCCAGTAATTTATCATAAGCTGCTTCTGTCTCAGTTGTAAAGGAATTTCTCCCATTTCTACTTGAACTGCTATCGATGGTGATGTTTTAATAGCTGCACAGCACAATTTTAAAGCTTGATTTTGTACTATTTCCAACTTATTTATAATTGTTTTCAATGCTTGCTTATATACACAATACTTCCATAATCTATAAAAGGTCTTATTAGAGCAACATATATCCTTTTTAGAGCTCTTATCAGCTCCCCATTCTAATCCTGTTAAACATTTCATCATATTTACCACTTTTTAAAACTTCCCTTCAATATACAGGTCCTTCTCAAAAAATTATCATATTGTGATAAAGTTAATTATTTTCTGTAATGTACTGATAAACATTAAACTTT